ACATTGTACATCTTAAAAGTCAAGACTTAGAAAGTGACCAAATAAAATTGTTCTTGCTTTATTTCTTTCTCTTCTAATTTTGTCTCTACAGTCACATTGAGAAACTCATCCGATACGTGCTTTTTATTAAAGAAAACCTTGAGTAAAGAAAAAACCATTCATAATATCCAGTTATTGTTCTCTTTGTATAATTTCTTGCAAACCTGTACCTGTATGTATGTATATGTATGTATATGTTTGTTTCTTTGTGTTTTGTAGGTATTATATGCAGTTCATTTGGATTAGGCTCTTTTCAGTTCATATCAGATGTTCTGTTCAGTTTTTCACCATTGTCTTCAGAATTGCCAGTTTAGTAAATGCATATTATTCTACAGCACAGATGTGCCATATTTTATAGAAATAATTTTCACTTACATGACATCTAGGTTGTCACTATTGCTTTATAGGTGAGCTTGTAATAAATGTTTCATAGCTTTTTGCTTGTGTTAAATTAGCTCCTTAAATTCTCAAGCTTGGGTTTATTAGGTTTTAAGGCATAAATGTGTTTGTGACCCTGTTTTCATGCCAAGAGAAAATGACAGAACTGCCAACTATGGTCTGAGGGTACTAATCCAGCACAGCTTCATCAGCAGCTTCAACATGGTATTGAGGATTTGTAACAAAGATAATTTATTTAAGTTCATTCCCCCGTATTCCCCGACTCTTAGGAGTATAGTAAATTAATCTTTTAAATATTTGGCCTCAACAATTTTTAAAATGACCTGTTAGCCCTGGGGTGATTAAGAAATGGCCAACAGCAACTCAGAAGATTAGATAGGAACCTTAGGGGGGCAGTAAGTTTATGTTAATAGGGGAGGAGCAACTCAAAAAAGGAGGATGAGATTGGTCGCACAACTCGAACAATGTAATCAGTGTCACTGAATTGTACATGTAGAAACTGTTGAATTGGTGTATGTTCTGCTGTGTGTATTCTCAATAACAACAACAAAAATAAAATAAATTATAAAAAGAAAAGGCCTTATAGTCTTACTCTGAACTTTGAAGATAATTTCTATAGATTGTGGCTAAAAAAGACTAGACCCAGTCTTTTCCATTTTCCAAATGCATCTGCAAAGATCACACACTTAGAAATCAAAGAGCCAACTCATTTAGAAGGAGAAGGCCATTTCTTAGTGAAAAAGAGAAGTACCCTCAAGAAATAGAAAATACAGCTACCCTTTTGGAATTTAAAATCTCAGAATAAAATCAGCACATAAGAAATGAGATTCACTAGCCCTTGCAGTCCTATCAAAAGATAAAATGTTTGTTCACTTAGCGAACAGGCCCTAAAAATATTATCCAGACTTGATAAAATATTAAAGAAAGCTGTAATCAAATAAATTATACTAATATAAATAAAGAACAAATGTAAAATAAATGTTTACTTTGGAGACTAGGAGTTTGTTTCCAGCATTTTCCAAATTTAAAAAGCAAAAATGCCCTGCCAACCTTGATACTCTGATTTTTATGATGGTTATCAGCTAATCAGATTATCAGAGTGTCATGACAGTAGCAACTAAACCAGTTTCATCTAGATTGGGCATATTACCACATTACTGGGTTTTTTAGTTATTTTTCAGAGTTTAAATGGTCACATAGTGTTAGTGTGCAAAGCAAATTATCGGGACTTAAAGGAGAAATGATGTGTGAGGTGTTCTGCAGTCTCCTGACAGGCTGAAAAGTTTCTCATCAATTCATTGCTGATGTGTTTTTGGGTTTTTTTTTCCTCTCATCTGACTTAAGGAGGACAGGAACCTCAGAGGCTTCTTGTTTTTCTATCAAAGCACCAGCAGCCTTGATCTACTTGACAAATAGGTATATTATGAATTTATGATTTGTGTTCTCTAGATAGAACCTTGCAACTGAAAGTGCGGCTTGTGGATGGATGGACTGGCATCAACTGGGAACTGAGACATGCAAAATTTCAAGTCTCCTTCCTCCCCCACCGCCAATCATCTACTTTGTGTAGTCCTGTCCTTTTCTAAGTCTCAGTTCTGTCATCGGGAAGATAAGGGTTATCATAAAAACCCATTGCCATCGAGTCCATTCCGATTCATAGCGACTCTATAGGACAGAGTAGAACTGCCCCATAGGGTTTCCAAGGAGCAGCTGGTGGATTCAAACTGTCGACCTTTCGGTTAGCAGCTGCTACCAAATAAGGTAATTAGGATTAATTGAGAAAACACCCTAAAGCACTTGGTGGTTGTTTACAAATACTTACTGCCAACAGTCAGTTCTGACTCAGTGACCCCATAGGGTTTCCAAGGCTGTAAATCTCTACGGAAGCAGACTGCCGCATCTTTCTCCCGTGGAGCTGCTGGTGGTTTGGAGCCGCTGGTGGTTTCCAACTGCCAGCCTTTCAATTAGCAGTCGATCGCTTTAACCATTGCACCACCCGGGCTCCTTTATTTACAAATAAAACCGAAAAAAACCAAACCCATTGCCATTGATTCTATTCTGACTCATAGCGACCCTATAGGACGTAGTAGAACTGCCCCATAGAGTTTCCAAGGAGCACCTGGTGGATTCGAACTGCCAACGTTTTGGTTAGCAGCCGTGCCTCTTAACCACTACGCCACCAGGGTTTCCTTATTTGCAAATAGCACCCAATAAATGTTAGTTCCTACTATTGGTGTTGATTATTAATACAATATGCTTATTTTCTGCAGTCAAGCAAAACGAATATGCAGATATCTCAGTCTAATTGTGGGAGAAGGGTATAATATAGTACTTGTTATTTTCCTAGATGGAAGGTAATGTTTACTAATGTTACCTTTATTTAGAGTATGCTGCCTTGCATTGTCATGTGCTAGTGAACGTAAAATATAGAATTTCATAAGAATATTACTTACCTCTCTTCCCCCATCCTATTTTTCACATACAAGCCTAAATTCCTCAAATTGTGCAGAATTTAATCTGCAACTGAAGAACAACAGAATTCCAGAGCTCCTTGATTCCATTACCTAATTTAATAAATTTTAAAAAAACAAAAAAAAAAAACGTTGCCATCGAGTTGATTCCAACTCATGGTAACCCCTTGTGTTACAGAGTAGAGCTTTTCTGTAGGGTTTTCTTGGCTGTAATCTTTACAGAAGCAGATCACCAGGCTTTTCTTCTGCAGTGCCACTAGGCAGGTTCAAACTGCCAGTCTTTAGGTTAGTAGACAAGAGCAAATCATTTGCACCACCCAGGAATCTCAGTTTAATAAATACATTATAATAATTGGTAATACACCAATTTTGTTAATCATGCTTCTAAAATGCTTATATATTTTAAATATTCTCCCTGCTGTAATGTATACCTTGTCTGTTTTCCCCTTCTCTGGTATTAATAAATAATTTTATGAAACGAAGATAAACAGTTTGGTTTAGCATACTGTACTATATATGCAGAGTATGTATGAGCGATGTTAAAGGTCACTTACTATGGAGCACCTTCCCTCTCCAGCTCAGTTAGGTGACTCCCCCATCCCTGTGCACTTGTAAACCCAATACATTCTCTATCATCACACTTTATACTTTTAACTTATTTGTATCTTCAGAAAAATTGTAAGCACTTTGACATTAAGGACTACGTCATGCAACATTGAACAGGAGAGACCAGCACTCAGTAGACATGCAGTGAATTTTTGTTGAGTGAGTGAGTGAGTGCTGCCCCTGGCTCTTACATCATTCATCTGTTTCTTAGACCATGATCAGCAGTGTACCAGTGACCGAATCAGTGAGTCAATTAATTATTCAGTTGTCCAATTAAGAAGGCCCTAAGAAATAAGATAAAATAAGATTTAAAAAAAATAAAAACAGAAGAATTAATAATAATTCCAAAGACTATTGTGGAATAGCTGTCTTTGTTTCTGAGGAAGCTTCCCTGCCATTCCTGAGATGCCAGATGTCCTTCCTTGGTTGCCTGGTTAAGGAGCCCTGATGGCACGACAGGTAAGCACTCAGCTACTAACTGAAAGGTGGGCAGTTCGAACCCACCCAGCAGCTCTGTGGGAGAAAATCCTGGCAATCTGTAAAGATTACAGCCTAGAAAACCCTACTGTGTCACATAGGGTCACTATGAGTTGAAAATCAACTGGATGGCACCTAACAACAAGCTGCCTGGTTACTAACTAGTTAATAGCCTGCATAAGGTGGCAGGCCTGGCGTTCCTCCCTAGCAGATTGCAGAGAGCTCCTAACACCCAGCTATAGTTTAAGGCCATGAATTCAGAGCTATAAACCTTACAGACCTCATGTCTTAAAGATACTGTAAATGGTGTTAGGGAAAGTAATAGCACAAATAGGAAAAATGTTTACCCGTGTATGTCTAGTAAATGAGCATTCATCCCTTTGTTCACAAGAGCCTCAATTAGATACATAATTGTGCAATAAGCAAATGATAGATGCAAATTAACAGAAAACAGCCACCTGGGCCACCCAGCACAAGCCATGTCATCCCAATGTGACAGCTATCTTCTTTACATGTGACAAATAATCAGAAATAGGACGAGTTTGCAGGTGCAACAGGAAGCAGCTTAAAAGACTGGCCTGGCATCATCTGTAGACTCAAAATATACCATTTGCTTTCCTTAGTGTGATGACTGTCCTCCATAGGTCACAATCGGGCCTTAGAGCCTTCACCCAGTGTATTGCAGCCTTCCCTCTCCAAGTACCCCCGGAATTGCTGCCATTGGCCAGTGTCCAAGAAGAAGGCTTGAACAGCTGCCCTGACAAATGGGTTTCACCCATTCAGGCTAGCAAATGAGGGAGTTTGAGCTGCTTTGCAATACTCTCTGCCACTGGGCTGGGGAAGCTGTTTAAGATGATGATAATAAAGTATACTACTTTCTGGCACTCTGTATTTTTCTTTTTGGAGATAGGTAAATATCTTTAGGATCCTTTTAATGCAGGAGGTGAGAAATCATCCTTCTAAAGAGTTGGTTTCAGCTTTTCTTTTTTTCTGTTTTGTCTCCCTCAGACAGTAAGGATTATATCCTGGAGCCACTTTCCCTGCCAGAAAGTCCAGGTGGCATCACCACTTTAGAACGTTCTCCAACTGTGCCTTGTATTTTCTGTGAAGAACATTTTCCTGTGGCTGAACAAGACAAACTTCTGAAGCACATGATTATTGAGCATAAGATTGTCATAGCTGATGTCAAGTTGGTTGCTGATTTCCAAAGGTAAATTTCTTTTTTGCCCATGAAAGAATTAAATTTAGTATTCCTTAGAGGAGTGGCATAATTTATATATAATTCCTATACAGATGTGAAAATTCATATTCTTTTTCAGATTTCTCCATAGACTTTTCTTTAAATCTTTCCACTCTTTTGCCTTCTTGAGTGTATCCATTGTGTTTGAGAATGTCACATACTGTCACATTTCCTACAGATTCTGGAAACAGCAACTGTCAGTAGAGTAGATAATATTCCCTTTGCCAGCATTCCATGGGTTTGTCAATATTGTAGATCTCTTTCAGATTGTTCTTTTCATGTTTCAGACCAAAGGCATTCTCCAATTGAATGAGTCCTTCCAGCTATTTCAGAGCACACTTGGTACCAAAGGGCAGTGTTTGGGGATGGGGTCCTTGGAGCCTTTCAAACCGAAATGGTATTGCTCAAACAGCTCTCGGTTTAAGTGTTGTAATGAGATTGATAACCAGACAAAACTGAATCATTCAGCAAGCCGAAGGAATATAAGAGTAGGGAGTTACTGATATCAATGACAGTGAGAGGAAGAGGGAGAAGAAGATAGAGGTGAGTGTTTGAGGAACTGCCAAAATTGGACATGTGTAAAAAGTTCTTTTTGCATGGACCTATACAGCCAGGGCCTAAAATGAGCTAGACTCCTACTTACAAGCACCTGACTTAGAGTGATCCGTACTGACAGACGACTAACATAGGTAATTATTCCTTCTTTCCCAGTTTGTTATCTCTGGAAGTGGTTGTTCAAGAGAAACACCTTCTCTTAGGCAGCTGTAATGGAGAGAAGTTGTGTTCATGTCATTATTGATTAGAACTTGGAAAGCATTTTCCCATAGAAGCAACATCATGGTGGCTACTGGCTTGGTATAGTTACTAAAAGCATACATTTTGGTATTTCTGGTTAGGTCCTGTTTTGAGGTGTTCAGTTCTAATTTCCCTACAAAACATTAGAATAGCCCAGACTGTAATATCCCTGCATCTAAATCCTATGTCCAAGACTACATCATTCCTAACAACTTCTTCCTTAAAATAGGTCTTGCAAAGCAACAAGCTGTATTATTAAGAGTGGGCTGTGAATCCAGGCAGTCCTAGGTTTGAATGCAGGCTTGACAACTTCTTAACTATCTGTCTAACCAGCAAGTTACTTAACTATTCTAAGCACTAGTTTCCTCATCTATAAAATAGGAGCAACCTGGCGCTCATGAATTTGTTGAGGATTATATAAAACAAGGTGTTCATAGTACCTGCTAGTGCCTGAGACATAGTATGTACCCAATAAATGGTAGATAAAATTTTAACTATATTTTGATTCCACTGATATATTTGAAACCTTAGTTTTCTGCAGTTATAGCTTGAGTTTTCAGTAGACATTTTTGCTAGTCTGAAAACCTAATTATTATTTAAGTTAAAATTTAACTTTTGAGAAAATCTCATTCAGGGTTCTAAATAATCTAAATTTTTAGAAAGGTTATTTTTAAGTTGTAATAGCCAGAATACCCCCAGGGGTAACACTGACTATTCTCTAGCCTTGGCCTCTACCTTCATGCCCTTCTCAACCACCTAGCACCAATAATGAGTATCTGCTCTGTGCCGTCTGTTTTTTGTCCCCTTATATCCACTCAGCGTTGCTGTTTTTTAGTAGACTTAGGTGCTGCCTGGTCAGGGAGCAGAGATGAAATAGAGTAGGGTCGGCGGGTTATATGAATGATATATGCCACCAACTGGTAGAATAAACTAATTCCTTACATACTTTGAGACGAGGCAGTCATGCTTCTCATTCCCATTCGTTATTTATTTTTAATTTAAAGTGTGTGTGTGTCTAGGTAAGTGTAAAGTGTTTGTGTGTGTTGTAGAAGTATTCTTGGAGCTTTCTCATAGGTGATTCCTAGTTATATGTAGTCAGATATGTTGATTTTGTTTGTTTTAGATACTTCTTAAGGTAAAGATCTTCTAACTATTTCCTGATTCAGATTACCACTGCCAGAACTATTAAATGGGTTATTCTTTTATAAGTCTTGTATTACTCAGCTTTTCTCTGATGTGAAACTATTTTTTTATTCTGTTTCATCATATAAATGCAAATTCTTTTTGGGAATTTTAGAAAAATACGATCCTCTACCAGTGATAATTGAGTAATGTTAAGTGGTTCTCCTGCTTCTGCTTCCCAAATATATGAGGAATGTCTGAATCAGAGTTTGAGTTTTCTCCTTTGTGCTTGTATATGTTAAGTAGCTGTATTTGTACTACTCAGTCTCCCTATTTTTATCACTGATATTGATCTCATCAATGGTATGTAGGCAGGAAAATAAAACATTATTTACTAGGTCTCAGGGCTGGGGAGCCAAGAATTAAATGTTGGGATTAGTCACCCTTTAAATGCAGTAATGTAATAAAAGTGAATGCTTCAATTAAAAAGAAAAAGATACATATCTGATACAAGTGTGTAGTTAACATGCACTTTATATTTGGAAACCTAGATTTTCCTTGTCAGCTATCCACTTAATAAAATAAAATTTTTTATCCTCGAGAAGTAACCCAAACCAACCAAACCCATTGCCATCGAGTCAGTTCTGACTCATAGCGACCCTACAGGACAGGGTAGAACTGCCCCACAGAGTTTCCAAGGAGCACCTGGTGGATTCATACTGCTGACCTTCTGGTTAGCGGCCATAACTCTTAACCACTATGCAACCAGGGTTTCCTCAAGAAGTAAAGATGTGGTTAATTCAGATTGACCAGGAATGTATCTGAGTAAACTCTATTGATTTTAAATACCTGTCTATATATCCAGTCTCCTGTAGATAATACCCTCCTATTATTTAGGGAAACTAAAAATTGTTCTTCTCCAAAACAATACAAGTATTGACTGATGTTTGTGATCAGAGTTAAGTTGGAATATTCTCAATGTCATAGGACTTTTTTCCGACTTCAGAGGAGGAGTTACTTTTAGTTTCACATATTTCCAACAGACTCAGCCTTTCAAAATCAATTCATGGACCAGGCCTTTTGATAGCTAGACTAAAAGGTTTTCCTCTTTAACCTTAGCATTTTAAAGGGGTGGGAGTGGACAGGAGGAAATAAGCAAGAAAGCCATTGGCTTGGGTGAATTCACTCAGAGCTTCTTTACAGGTTGAATAATTCTTTTATGCATAATTTCTCAGAATGGAGTCGTTGCTTTCAAATACAGTAATAGTAAAGATGATAAATAATAGATAAGAGATGAGCTAACCTTACGCTTTACAAGAAGTAAGCTATAAGCTTTCATGTTAAATATGTTTGACCTTTTCTTTATTGAAACAAAGTGACAATAAAACTTCCTGAAGCAGAGAGAATAAAACAAAAATAAAAATCTTTCTTTTACCCCATTCAACATAGTTATTTATACTATTTCCTAACTTTATTCAGTCGATAAAATTGCTCTAGAAGATATGTTAAAAACTCCTTAATTCTTGCCCCCTCTATATTGAATTCCACCTATTCAGTTCCACTTAATTAACAACCATAGCTCAATTTTCTGTGCCTTTAAGTTCACCAGTTACAGCGGGGACCTGAGCAGGCAAGATGTTGATTTTTGTGAGACGTGATTTTTTTGTGAGAAAATTCTGTGAGATGTGAATTCTGTGAAGAAAAAAAAAAAGATTTACTGATGACCTAGTAATTACTTTTATGGCTTTTTAATAAAGAATGAAATGCTTTGGTAGCTGTCATCCAAATAGAGTTCATGCCACATATGATTTCTTGGTGGCCTTTATATATTGAGTAGCTGCAACTGTAGCTTTGAATAAACTAGAGAAGTAGGAAAAATGAGAAAGAAAAGTATTAAATGATCCCTTTACCTTGAAAAATATATTTTAGTGAATGAAAAAAAAAAAAAAGCCACAAGAAGCATGTAATGAAGATCTGCTGTCTTTAAGCTATCACTGAATTGAATACAATTTTTCTGAATGCCTCTACCAGTCACAGCGGAATGTACATATCGACACCTCTTCATTTTAATTATAAACTAAGAAGAGCACTGTTATGTGTTTAACTAGAATGCATCTTAACTCATTTAGATTCAAGTCAAATATATATTGCAATTGAGGTTTTTTTGTATACTATACTACAGTAAGAGACACTATACATTTGTATATTTAAATTGTATAGTGAATTGTGGTTATATTTTGCTTTTGTAACAGATTTTTCTCTTTGATTTTGTTGCTATCCAACCTTTGATCAGGAAGAGAACACGCAAGGGACGGCTTTGTTCCTGTCCTATTACCTGCTTTGTCCCCCTTTCCTCAGAAGCCAGTCTCACAGTATCTCAGTGATGTTCCTATAGGTGGTATCTGAAAAAATATCATTAGTTCCAAAATTTATTACTACTTGTTCATGGAGCAAAAAAATAACCTTTAACCAATGTAAAGGACTACCATATTGTGAGCATTTAGCAGTGTCTTCTCAGCCTTCATCCTATGGAGAACCAAACCTGTTGTCATTGAGTCAATTCTGACTCATAGCAAGACTGTAGGACAGAATAGAACTGCGCCATAGGGTTTCCACGGAGCGGCTGGTGGATTCGAACTGCCCTCCTTTTGGTTAGCAGCCGAGCTATTTTTTTTTCTTTTTTTTAATTGTACTTTAGATGAAGGTTTACAGAATAAACTAGCTTCTCATTACAAAGTTAGTATACATATTGTTTTGTGACATTGGTTACCAACCCCACCCCATGACATGTAAACACTCTCCTTTCTCAACCTTGAGTTCCTTATTACCAGCTTTCCTGCCCTCTCCTGCCTTCTAGTCCTTGCCCCTGGGCTAGTGTGCCCGTTTAGTCTCATTTTGTTTTATGGGCCTGTCTGATCTTTGGCTGAAAGGTGAACCTCAGGAGTGACTACATTACTGAGCTAAAAGGATGTCCGGGGTCCATACTGTTAGGGTTTCTCCAGTCTCTGTCAGGCTAGTAAATGTGGTCTTTTTTTGTGAGTTAGAATTTTTTTCTACATTTTTCTCCAGCGCTGTCTGGGATCTTCTATTGTGATCCTTATCAGAGCAGTCAGTGGTGGTAGCTGGGCACCATCTAGTTGTGCTGGACTCAGTCTGGTGGAGGCCATGGTAGTTGTGGTCCATTAGTCCTTTGGACTAGCCTTTCCCTTGTGTCTTTGGTTTTCTTCATTCTCCCTTAGCAACCGAGCTCTTAACCACTGCACCAGCAGGGCTCTCATCCTATGGAAGGCCCCAAAAGCCCCCTAACTATTTGGAGAAAGTAACTGAGATTCTACTAGACAGAATCTCCCCATGATCTTAAGTCAATTGATGTTAGTTATCACTTCCTCTGTGCCTAGCACTTTGCAGTAAATACTAGTAGAAATAAATATATGGTGTCATCCTTCTTGTCAGAGATCCCAAACATGAAAGTCCTTGGAGACTGAGATTCATTGACTCTTGGAAGCAAGGCTTTGTTATCTCTGCAGGGGTGTTTGTTTATATTTCTTATCTAGTCAAGCGATTTCAAATCAGTGGCCCCAAAGAGCTGGTAACTACTTTCAGTGCTCACGAAGGAAGTTAGGAGCAGTTCAGACTGAAGGCTACAGTTAGGTAGTGTGCTTTTCTGGAAAGGATGGGCATGCCCTCTCCCTTTAGACTTCAGTTCTGAAGTTGTTTCTGCTTTGTCAAAGAGCATTGTATATGACCTCCTTGGTCTCTGAGGAGAAAAAAATAATGCTTCAAGTATTCATTAGAACTATAATTCTGGGGGCTTTTTCCTGTCCCTACCTTCCTTTTACTTCAATTCTTGTGCAGCTTGGTCCTTACATGATAGTTGAAGCATGTGTAGAGGACTGAGTTTGGCTTTGGAGCCGGAGAGATCAAGGTCAGATCCCAATTCTGACATTCTAATTGTGTGACCTTGGGCAAGTAAGGATTTATAAGTGGTATCTGCTAATTGTCATCATTGTTGTCATGATCAGCACCCTAGTCTTCTGCCACCTTGGCCATCTGTACTTGCCCTCTGATTCAGACTATCATATTAACTATTTTGATTTGCTCAGGAAATGTTACTGTTGTTATTTTAGATACCAGTATTTCTCTGTAGTAAACATAGATTCTTTACTACCTTAGTCTTATCTAAATGTGACACTTTTTCTTATGATAATAACTAAACCCATTGTTGTTGAGTTGATTCTGACTCATAGAGTCCCTATAGGACAGAGGAGAACTGCACCGTAGGGTTTCCAAGGCTGTAATCTTTACGGAAGCAGGCTGCCACATCTTTTTCCCACAGAGCTGCTAGTGGGTTGGAACTGCCGACCTTTCATTTAGCAGCTGAGCAGTTAACCACTGCGCCACCAGAACTTCTATATAATAATAACTACCATTCATTAAATACCTAGGCTGTTGGACTCTGCTTGACATGCTTTGTAACTCATTAACAATTGATTTTGCAAACAAGCAAACTGAGTTTCAGAAAGGTTAAGTAACTTTAAATTCAGATTCATCTCTATTGTCTTCAGGGGTGATAAAGTCAATTATTAATACCTCAACTATGAGGGTTGACCATACTCTTAATTTAAAAAGCGAAACTGCTGCTAGCAGAAGATTTGTACAGATAAGAGAAGACCAGTATTGACTCTTCATTATTCAGTCAATGATAATTGAAAAGACAGTCTGATCATTAGGATCCAAGCTCTTACCTTGTTATCTGCTTGATGTAGTTTCGCACAAGTACTTTTCTAAGTCTGTGAACATTTTCCAGACTAGGCAGCCTGTGTATTCAAGAAGTTGTTACTGCCTTTGAACAGGCTGTAGACCCAAACTGGAACTAATATAGGGCTGACCACTGTTCTCAGTTTTGTCCAGAAGATATTGCCCAGATGGTCCTCAGTGGAGTGGTAGCTGGGAGTGGTGAGCCTCCACTTGGTGTATTCTTGGGGTAGCCATAAGAGAACTCAAGAGAGAGCTTAGCCCTCCTGTCTTTTGAAATCAGTTATCTCCGTACCTGGTTCTGTCATATAAACTGTATTAGTTCTGAAAATTGCTGTCTATATATTTTAATTTGGAAGAACAATCCATATTCTACTCTTAACATCCCTAATACAAGTTCTTCTTTCCTGTCACGACTTTGAAATAGAAGATGTGCTGAGAGGAGAATAAGAAAAGGGGTTGGAAATGTCATTTTTATTCTCTTGGAGTCTTCTTTGGCCTTTTCTTTCTCTCTCTTCCCCTCTCCCCCTGGAGCAAAAGAAAGAGCTAGTAGGGAATGGAGAAGTGGAGAATATAAGAGTACCTGTCAGAGCCCTGGTAGTGCTAATGGTTGAGAGTTTGGCTGCTTAACCGAAATGTTGGCAGTTTGAATCCACCAGTTGCTCCTTGGAAACCCTGTGGGGCAGTTCTCTGTGCTATAGGGTCACTATGAGTATACGGTTGCTATAAGTTGGAATCGACCCAATGGCAATGGGTTTTTTTTGGGGGGGTGGGGGGTGGTTTGTGTAGGATACTGAGTTGTGGAGGGTGCTGAAGCTGGTCTTGAGTGGCCAAGGGAATAATGTTTCATCCTTTTGTAGGTACTTCTCCTTTTTTCTTTTCCCCTCTACTTTGATGGATCTGATATGCGCTTGCCTTCTGTTCTGATCTTCTAATATGGAAACCAGTGAACTAGCTATAGAATCAGGATGCATCATTTATAGTATTTGAGGCCAAGCTGGAGCCTGAGATCTGTGATTCTCAGATCTCTTAAGATAAGGTCCAGTGCTGTCCTGTAAGGAAAAGTTCCTCTCATTAATAGCCCAATCAGGATTGACAATATGGTTGGACGTGAGACGAAAGGACTAAACATGTGGTTCTATTTTCATATATTAGTTTACTTCCTTTCCTTACGTATTCTGTACGCACTCAGTGTTGTCATCCATTTATATCAGCTCATGTCATGGTTCTCTCTCTCTCTCAGACCTCTCCTCAACCACAGATCTAGAGCTTTTTTTTTTTTTTTAAATACATGAATACCTGAGATAGCACCATAAAGTTTGGTCATTGAGAAATTAATGTTAAGAAAAGGGGAATAAAAAGGAGCCAAAATCTTGGGAGTTAGGAACTATTTAGAGTATCTTACAGGAATTTTCAAATGCTCGTCTGCCTCTTAGAAACATCTATTGTAAACCTAATATGTGCTAGTTGCAATATCAAGCCATTTAAAATGTCCAACTTCCTACTCTTGCTGTTCACTGTATCCATTTCAGTAAGTCCCAGCTCTTCTACAGGGCTTTAGTTCTTTGTTGTTTCTTTTTTTTTAATCCATCAGTTGTGTAGCCTGATGAATTGTCAACTATAGAGTCAACCTTTCCATTTCCTTTCTCCCCATGAAAGAGACCACATTTGCTTCTTGGCACTGTTTGACAAATGAGAATGCAACTGCCAATATGAATCTTATTAGATAAGTGGAAAGATGAACAGATCTTTGAGTCCTGTCATTTTATTCCCTCTTCCATTGGAATTGCACACCTGGGTGTTATGCTTTGCTTTCAGATTTAGCTAGTGTACTTCTCCTAACTCTGCTCATTAGATACAAGAATTATAACCTCGATTATTTTTCCCAAGGCTAAATTTGCCTTGTTTCAGACACATTGTGGATGGACATACAGACTTTTTCTGTCTTGTTATAGATATTGAATTTAGACTGGTTGTGTTAGTCTTCTGACCTCTGTTTTTGTTTTTTTTGTTATTTGTTTTTTGTTTTTTGATAAGTTAGATAATCACTCAGCTTTCTCTTTATTGGAGAATAAATGACATAGCCTGTTTAATATTTGTTGGGTTTTAAATTCACAGAAACTTAGCTGCCATTTCAGAAAAACTTGATTATCACATAAAAATAATTCATTTTAACTTTCCCATATGTCTGTTTATTGAATCCAGGGTTAGTAAAATGTAATCATTTCCATGCCATTGCAGGGTAATTTTATTTCATTAAATATTTATTTCAATTTATATAATATTCTACCATCTTCCTGTTCACAAACTCTAGCAGTTGTTAGTCAACATTTTGTTTTTTGCTTTGAGATAATTAAATGTTCTTATAAAATCTTATCATTCTAAAGAAAGTGTGTATTGAGTCCTCTCACCATCCTTCCTTTTTAATTGCCTTAAGGTACGTTTTGTATTGGAGGAAAAGGTTCACTGAGCAGCCCATCACAGATTTTTGTAGTGTGATAAGAATCAATTCCACAGCTCCACCTGGTAAGTGCACATCTTGGCTACCGTCTTTCCCCTACAATCCAAGAATTTAAACAAATAATCTTACTGTCTTAATTACAGTTGCTCTCACTTTCATAATAGCTAAAATGAAATTGCTGTATTTATCTTGCCTAACTGGAATAAAGCTAAAACAGAACTATACCCCAGAAGAGATCCTAATACACAAACACACACACACACAAAGGAATAGATCCTTCTGGAAAAAAAAAAAAGATAAATAACCTTTTTCTCATTTATTTTCCTAATCTCTCAACAGAAGAACAAGACAATTATTTTTTGTTATGTGACGTTTTACCAGAAGATAGACTTCTTAGAGAGGAGCTTCAGAAACAAAGACTGGTAAGAATTGTTTTAAAGGGTGAACAGTGTTGAAAATACTTACAAAATTATTTGTTATTGTTGGTCTTTTTTCTTTTTTTTTGTTCTTTTACTTTTTGTTAGGGAAGCTTTCAAACATGCACAAAAGAGGTGACAATACATAAAGATTTTAAAACAGAAAAAGTATACAGTTGACTAAAGATTAAAGCATTTTTTGTAAAAAATCAGAGGGAATTTTAGGCTTTGTGTTGCTTCCTGGATTATCTTTAAATAACAAGAGAGCTTCACGTTTTAGTAATTTTAGCTGCCTGACACATGCTAGGGTTCAGCAGTCGTGGAAAAATGCCCTCAGCTAAAATTGAGTTGAATTGATTAACCTTTTTCCCCCTCTTCACTGGAATGCGCTATGCACTAGTACTTCTTTTATTCCCGCTTATGAATTAAGCATATGATTTGATCAACATAGTAGCCTTTCTCATTTTCAGGCTTAACTATAAACAAACTAATTGGAAAACGTCAGCATCTATAGTCTTTAAAGGAGATAGCAGCATATACAAGACTGAAAATTTTTATTTTTGTAAGTGAACCATAAATTGATTAATTTTGTGAAGTTATTAACTTTGTTTAAAAGCATGCAGTTTCCCATTATTAGTGATTTAAGTCTTCCTTGTGTCTCTGTTGTTGTTAGGTGCTGTCGAATCATTTCCTACTCAGAGCAACCTTATGTACAACAGAATGAAACACTGTCCAGGCCTGCGCCATCCTCACAATCATTGCTATCTTTGAGCCCATTGTTGCAGCTACTGTATCAGTCCATCTTGTTGAGGGTCTTCCTCTTTTTTGCTTTCCTAAGCATGATGTCCTCTTCGAGGGACTGATGACTCCCGATAACATGTCCAAAGTATGTGAGACGAAGTCTCGCCATCCTTTCTTCTAAGGAGCATTCTGGCTGTACTTCTTCCAAGACAGATTTGTTCCTTCTTCTGACAGTCCATAGTATATTCAATATTCTTCGCCAACACAATGATTCAAAGGCATCAGTTCTTCGGTCTTCCTTATTCATTGTCCAGGTTTCACATGCACATGACACATTGCCATCGAGTCGATTCCAACTCATAGCGACCCTATAGGACAGAGTAGAACTGCCCCATAGAGTTTTCAAGGAGCGCCTGGTGGATTCGAACTGCCAGCCTTTTGGTTAACAGCCATAGCTCTTAACTACTATGCCACCAGGGTTTCCACATGCACATGAGGTGATTAAAAACACCATGGCTTGGGGCAGGTGCAGCTTCGTCCTCAAAGTGACATCCTTGTGTCTTTGGACTTGGCTAAATATGTTTGTTATGAGAGAGCTGTAATTTAAATGTTTTTACTAAACCCTCAAGAGATCTAGGAGGAAAATAAATCCTATCTACCATGGTTATATGATTTGAGAATGTCCCCTGAAGCTCATTTTGTTTTGTAAGGATCACAAATGATTATTTCTCCTAGTAAAGAGAGATGATATTGTTGAATATTGACTTATACCTAAAAAAATGATGCTTTTCCTATAACAACAAATCCAGTAAAGCATCAGGACTTCCAGCATTTCTCTTCTCTCCCTATAGCAGTTCTTTATGAAATATACAAAACAAGTGTGAATTTATTGTCGTATATTGTGAATTCGTACTTATTCAAAATTTTTTATTTCCAAGAGTTTTCTCATTCTTGCTTATACTTTCCTTAATAAAGAATGATCAAACCATCATAATCCTACTTCCCCCAAGGATTCCTTCATAAGGGCTCAAAACCTTACTATGTCAGCCATTGCTATTCCTCAGGACTCTAAATCTTTATTACATGTCTGCAGATAGACTCAAGTCCCTGGAAATATCTGTCTACATCTATAAAATTTAGATGGCCTTTTTACCTACTGTACAGTCTGTTTACGTGTGTTTTGTCGACTGTGCAAGGGCATTCAACTGTGTGGATCATAACAAATTATGGATAACATTGCGAAGAATGGGAATTCCACAACACTTAATTGTGCTCATAAGGAACCTGTACATAGATCAAGAGACAGTCGTTCAGACAGAACAAGGGGATACTGCATGGCTTAAAGTCAGAAAAGACATACCTCAGGGTTGTATCCTTTCACCATACCTATTCAGTCTGTACGCTGAGCAAACAATCCGAGAAGCTGGACTATATGGAGAAGAATGCCACATCAGGATTGGAGGAAGATTTATTAACAACCTGCGTTATGCAGATGACACAGCCTTGCTTGCTGAAAGTGAAGAGCACTTGAAGCACTTACTCATGAAGATCAAAGACCACAACCTTCAGTATGGATTATACATTGTGTTAGTCATCTAGTGGTGCTGTAACAGAAATACCACAAGTGGACGGCTTTAACAAAGAGAAATTTATTCTGTCACGGTCTTTTAGGCTAGAAGTCCGAGTTCAGGACACCGGCTCCAGGGGTAGTCTTTCTCTCTCTGTTGGCTCTGGAAGCAGGTACTTGTCATCAGTCTTCCCTTGGTCTGGGAGCATCTCAGTGCAAGAACCTCAGGTTGCAAACCGGCACTGCTCTCTTGGTGGTATGAGGTCCCCATATCTCTCTGCTCGCTTCTTTCTTTTATATTTCAGAAGAGATTGGCTTAAGACACTGTCTAATCTGGTAGATCTCATCAGTATAACTGCCACTAATCCATCTTATTACATCATAGTGATAGGATTTACTCCACATAGGGAAATCATATCAGATGACAAAATGGTAGACAGTCATACAATACTGGGAATCATGACTTAGCCAAGTCAACAGATATTTTGGGGGGGACACAATTCAATCCATGATACACCCAACATAAAGAAAACAAAAATCCTCACAACTGGACCAATAAGCAACATCACGATAAACAGAGAAAAGATTGAAGTTGTCAAGGATTTCATTTTACTTGGATCCACAATAAACATAGAAGCAGCGGTCAGGAAATCAGAAGACGCATTGCATTGGGCAAATCTGCTGCAAAAGGCCTCTTTGAAGTGTTGAAAAGCAAAGATGTTACCTTGAAAGACTAAGGTGCACCTGACCCAAGCCATGGTGTTTCACTTGTCTCCTATGCATGTGAAAGCTGGACATTGAATAAGGAAGACCGAAGAAGAATTGAAGCCTTTGAATTGTGGTGTTGGGGAAGAATAGTGAATATACCATAGACTGCCAAAAGAATGAACTAATCTGCCTTGGAAGAAGTACTATCAGAATGGTCCTTAGAAGCAAGGATGGCAAGACTATGTCTCACATACTTTGGACATGTTATCAGGAAAGAACAGTCCCTGGAGAAGGATATCATGCTTGGTAGAGGGTCAGCGAAAAAGAGGAAGACCCTCAACAAGATGGATTGACACAGTGGCTGCAACTATGGGCTCAAGCATAACAACAATTGTGAGGATGGTGTAAGACTGGGCAGTGTTTCTTTCTGTTGTACATAGGGTCACTGTGAGTCGGAATTGACACAACAGCACCAAATAACAACAACAACAGTCTGGTGAGGTAATAGGTTTGATGTAAGTGAGCAGTATTAAAGAAACAAAATATAGTAAAAGCATAATCTATATGCATTTATTGAATTCCTTCTTAATTAGATGCTTGTACAAAGAAGTTCAAGGTGTGGCTCATATCATGGAAGAGTGTAGTCTAGTTAGAGAAAACAACCAAATATGTTTTCTTAATTAGGTAATGGAGATGATAGAATCTATCTTGTAGGACTTGTGATGATTAAATGAGATAAGACATGTAATACACTCAATAAATGTTAGCCAACAACACAGTTATCAATGAGAAGGATTCGGGTAGTTGGAGAGTTATAGAGAAGGGAGGAAAAATGCATATGGATCCAGATGTTCAAGATATATTCAGGAAAATTGAGTTGAAGTAGTCTGGTTGAGGTAGAAAGTTTTTTATGCGGAGGAGTATGAGGTAAATGGAGCTACACTGTGGAAATCCTTCAGTGCCAGGAACGATTGATTTCACACTGCTAAAGATCCATTCATGTCCCCTCATTGCCCTTAAGAGTAACATTAAGAAGTGATGGTATTCACTGAAAATACAATGAAGTATTCTTTAAAAAGAAAAAAAAAAAAAGGATGGTAAATGTGGCTGTGCAAAAATCCATTTAAAGCTGGCAAATCCTGGAAAACAGCATGCTAAACAGGAAATGTGGAAAGGAGCTAACAGTTAACTTCATGCCAGCCATATGCCATGCCTTGTGTTAGGTCCTTGCTTCATAGCTCTCCTGTGAGGTAGTGTTAAATGTCATTCTGTTGATGAGGAAAATGTGACATAGAAAGATTAGTTTGTCCAGGATCACATAGTGAATGAGAAACAGAGCTGCAGGTTTAACCAAATGTGCCTGATGCTTGCCTTTCTGCGCCACCAGCACTCCTTAAGTGGCAATGGGCATATAACCCAGTCCATGTTTGAGTGAACTTAGCTCAGTGTTCGTAGGATCTCCAATCAATTCCAAGAGGGAGAACCCTCAAATTAGACTTCCAGGTGGCATTTGCCCTCCTGATCTGCATTAATGATGACTTGCACATTTATCATTCTTTAATGTTTATGCTCTCATTTGGAACTGTAAGTAAAGCATTTAGTTGAAGTACCTTGGTATGGTTTGCTCTTAGTTCAAAATGACTTTGTAACTTCTTCGAGGGCAGGAATTATGTCTTATACTTTAATATCGTCCCATAGCACTCAGTATAGTATGAAGTTCATGTTGATATTTTTCCCCATTCCCCATTTTTTAAATCATTCCTGTTTTTATAACCACGGAAGTGGTTTTCAGAGTGGTTAGAGGCATATAGAGTCTAAACGGTCCGCCTACAGTCACATAACATGTTAGTAGCAGATTTAATCCTAGAACCATATTTTTTTTTTCCACTTTGTTCTAGATGTCACTGTTTCCATGACATTTGTGAGATTTCTGTGTTTGCAGTTTTCTTTTTGAGGGGTTTGATTCCTACTTGACGCTTCTTTGAATTTT